CCAGTAGACGCTTGGGCCTCTGTACACAGAATGGGAGCTTTCCTCGCTTTTCAGAAGCCCTCTCTGCGACGCCCCGCCGAAAAGCCAATCACATGTAAGCAGCAACACCGCGGCCAGCCCGTTCCGATTTTTTTCAATCGCGCTCATGCACGCCATACCCAATCAGGAGAGATAGGCGAGGTCGATGGACCTCAGCCGGCCCAAACAGCGCTCTCCCTCCCACTTTTCAGATGGAGCTCAAGCACGTCGCACTTCGCACGCGCCACCCCGAATTCCCATTCCTTCCCGGGGCACCGGCCGGGGTTAAGGATGGACCAACCAGCACCCAAAGTCCAGCAGCAGCAGGCGGGGACAGAGGCAGCGAGAATTTTCTCAGCGCTGCACCAACGCGCAGCGCACACTGAGGTGTGAAACCCTGCCCAGTTCGCCGGTCGCGCTTCCCTCTGCGTCTCCACCTTTTCTTTTGCCACGCACCTGGTTGGTCAGATCCCCTTCCTAAAAAACCCGCACACGACACCCGCTCCACCCTCCGACCTACCGAAAGCTCCTTGCAAGGTTTCCCAATCGCCCTTGCCCATTTATTTTTTTGCGTCCCTTTATTATCAACGAATCCCTTCTACCCATTCGCAAGTGCCTACCAACCGCGCATTAATCCCTCTACGAGCATTTGACTCACCACCGTCGCTTCGCACGACAACAACAACAAAAAACAAAATACAACTGTACAGCCTCAGCTTCGACTCCCTCTCCGAGTCCTTTTACGTTGCTGTAACACTCTCCCTAACGAACTTCACGACCGCACACGATACCCAGAACCGAGTGGAGGACCCGCGAAGAGAAAGTTTCCCGCAGAAAACCATCCACACGAGCTTCCCATCTCCGCCGCATCACCACCAGAAACACTTCCACGATGAAGGTCTTCTCCAACGCAGTAACCTTCGAGTACTCCTGGGAGGAGGTCTCAACCGCCAACTGGCGAAAGTACTGCCCCTGGAACGACAAGTCTTCCCACGTCGTCGCCGTCGACACCCTCGCCCGCAGCGTCGACCCCGCCACCGGCATCCTCCGCACAGAGCGCCTCATCACTTGCAAGCAGTCCCCGCCCGACTGGCTCAAGCCCATCTTTGGCGACGGCAGCAACTCCCAGGTGTTCGAGACGTCCTACGTCGACCCGGCCAACAAGACCGTCACCATGGTCTCCCAGAACCTGACCCTGACCAACCTCGTCAGCGTCCAGGAGACGGTCGTCTACAAGCCCATCAGCGCCCACAAGACCCTCTTCGCGCAGGAGGCCCAGATTACCGCCCTTTGCGGCGGCTGGCAGAAGATTAAGAACAAGATCGAGGACACTCTCGTCACTCGCTTCTCCGACAACGCCATCAAGGGCAAGGAGGGCTTCGAGACCGTCCTCGCTATGAGCAGGAGGGCGTTCGAGTGCGAGCGCCAGCAGGGCAGCATGCGTGAGGGTATGGCGGCATGAGACAGCCAGGACTGAGTTGTTTCAGGTCCTTCCCGTCATCACCTTTTCGCGCGGTTCTTGCGTTTGCAGCGAGCGTAGCGGCCTTTTGCAATTTCTCTCGACCAAAAAAGCGGGCAGCATCACATCTTTTTCACACTTTTTAAAGAATCGGAACGGAAAATGGGCTTTAGACGGCGTTGGGTTTAATGACTTTTGCAGACGAGAAGAGGAGGGGATGGAGAGCGAGATTGTTGCTTGGAGCCCTCTCATTTGAGAGTGTCTCGCCATGTACAAATCATTTTTATATTCACGGAGTCCGGGCAACAAAAATACCCCTACACGATAGAGCATCCACGGGGGGGATTTCTCTTTTGCCAAAGCATTGTCTTTTCGGTCCTCGGGCTAGAGATTAGAAAGTGTTTCTTAGAGAAAATAGACATCTCCCACACCTACTTCACACACCGCATCCTGCCTCACTCAAATTATCAGCAAACTTTGCACCCTGAAAAACTTATTTCGTGCATGCCCAATTGCCACTACTGAATGATAGGGTATCGCATTCTCAACAGTGCACTTCCGTAACACGGGTATCTTTATTCAGTTTCCCATCCGACCCCGACACTTGGCCTCGTACTGGCTCAGCATGTCCTTCGTATCCCGATCCAACGCCGCCTCACTTCCGTCCAGGACCCGCCTCACAAACGCCGCGCCCTCCTCGTACCTCCGAAAGAAGTACAGCTCCTCCACAGCGTGAAGAAGTTCTTGCAACACGGGCTTGCTGGCCGGACCAGGCGTCAATGGCAGCTCAATCGTCTTCCAAACCTATTCTGAATCAGTTTTGCTCCCGTTCAGCGTGCGTAAGCAGGTCAAATGCAGGGAGGATGAGGGGGTGAAGGCGGTCTCTCGGATGCGGTGGAGAAAAAAGTGAGCATCGGTGAGGGGGTGGTTTGGGGGGGCTCGGTTGCTCCGGTTCGGCGTTCTGGACAGGGCCGGGGAGGGGGAGAAAAAAGAGGACTTCCTCCCGAGGCGTTCGATAAGGTAAGAATAATGTAATTGTGAAAATGAAGCATTGCAATAATGAAGACGCAGCGTATTTCTGCTGTCGTGACTCACCTCGCCGTTCTGCTCCTTGACTCTGTACGTCGCCCGGAGCTCCTGGAAGGCCTCCTCGGACTGGTGGTCCCGGGGCTTCGCCGCGCCCTCCTCGTCGGAGTCAATGGCGATGCAGAACAGGCCCCCATCGTCGTCGGACATTGTGCTGTTGTGTCGTTTTTGCGCGTTTGAGTGGGCTGGACCCTTTCAAGCAGTCGCCGAATGGCTCACAGAGGGCGTATCCTTCCCCCAAAGTTTCCAAATTGCCTGTCTCGACTGGTGCAAATTCCGCTTCCCCGGGGAATGAATGGGGATATTGCGATGTCTTTGATACTGCCCAACGCAGACTTGCTGATGACTGACTTGAATCTCAACTTCCCAAAAGAGTCCAAACACCGCAAAGCTTGCTCCCGTTTTTCTAGGTGACTCTTCGTCGCCGACTGCGTTATCCACAGCACGCCGAGAGAGTCCCTCCAAAGTGGAACCTCCACCAGTCCGTCCGAGTCGCCCGCCGCAGAATGCCGTCCGCTGTTAGAAATATGCATCTAACCACCACAACAGAATTTTTCGTGTATTCTTACTAATAAACCCGCCCACAGCAAGTCCTGCCGAAGCGAACTTTTAGAAAGCCACCTACCCCCGAGGAAATGACATCAAGCCGCATGGCGGGGTCGGTGGGGGGCGTTTACCTTGCCCGGCGGGGCGTTCTTTGAAGCTGCCCGCAAGCTAAACGACTCAACGACATCCCGCAAACGCTTGTCTCGACGACACCTCTTGGTCTAATACCAGCTCGAATCTCATAGTGCATAGGGTGAAATTGCTGCAAAAATGGAGGCGCAGGTCGAGAGACTCGTAGACAAGGCCTGGGACAAGTTTGAAAAGACACCGGCCGATAAACGCCTACGTACGTCCACTCTCTGTCTCTGCCGGAGCTATCACGCGAGCATCGTGAAGCTCTGATGCGCCTCATCTCCCAAAGCTCCGAGCTCCACAGACCAAAACTTTTCCCACCCGACCCAACACAAGATGCACCGCTGACCCTCCAACAGTGATAGGTATCGCCGGCATCCCAGGCTCAGGTACATCTCCTCCATCCACTTCTCATCCCCTCCTAACATCTCCCGCAGGCAAAACAACCCTCTCCCAGATAATGACAACCCGCCTCAACACCCGCGCCTCCGCCCTCGACACCTCCTACACCCACGCCCCGCCCGCCGCCTTCGTGCCCATGGACGGCTACCACCTCACCCGCGCCCAGCTCTCCGCCCTCCCGGACCCGTCCACCGCCCACGCCCGCCGCGGCGCCGCCTTCACCTTCGACGGCGCCGCCTTCCACGCCCTCGTCACCTCCCTGCGCGTGCCCCTCGCCCCCGAATCATCCGCGCCCATCCTCGCCCCGAGCTTCGACCACGCCGTCAAGGACCCCAAGCCCGACGACATCGCCATCCTCCCCGCCCACCGCATCGTCGTCTTCGAGGGGAACTACCTCGCCCTCGACAAGGACCCCTGGGACGCCGCCGCGCGCCTCATGGACGAGCTGTGGTTCGTCGACGTCGACTTCGAGGTCGCGCGCAGGAGGCTGGTCAAGAGGCACGTCAAGGCGGGCATCGCGAAGGACGAGGAGGAGGCGGATAAGAGGGCGCGGGAGAACGACCTGGTCAACGGGCGCGAGATTGTGGATTTCAGGATGGAGGTTGACGAGGTCGTCGTCAGTCGCGAGGATGACGAATGGGTTCACGCGTAGGTCAGGTATGCTTCCTATGAGATCGGGCGGGTTATAGAACGAGGGGGATATCACCGTGTTGGGAGAGCGTCTGGGCGGTAATGAATGATCATGAAAGCGTTGAACACTCGCATTGAGCTTGATAGATAGCATGACGGGGACGACCATAAGATGAAGTACAATAAGCGACGAACTCTGCTTTGACCCGAGATCTAACCGATTCCGAGGTATCGCAGCAATCATGGAACTTTTAGAGTAATGTCACTTATCGAAACACCAGCAGAGGCATGACCGTATCTCAACAAGACGGCCCTAGCCAAGCAGGAAGAAGCCCGGAAATAGATGAGTTGACAGTGCTATCCCCGCCACTTAGAATAGCATGATTAAACGAAGGTTGGCTCGGTCTCTACCGGCAAAGAGAAAACTAAATTGTAAAGTCAATTACAAAGGAGAAACGCAGGTCTTCCACAACGCCCGAGACATGGCACACAATCACATCAGGGAAGCGAGGCTTGAAGGAAGCTATTCTCTATCTACTGCTGGCCTTGATCTCTAGAAGCCAGGCATGATGGCCCATTTCTGTCCTTTTCTCCACCCAGTGTCTCTCGAAAACCTTTTCACATTCCATTCATGTTGTGACCTGATCCCGTACCCCAAATCACATTACCACGGTCCAAGACAGAAATATGCAAGCCCCCATATCCACGCGTCCCGCTCAATCCGGGACTACTCATCAGCCGCGATTCCGGTGAACGAGCCCGCGTACTTGGCACCAGAGAATCCAGTGGCAAATCTCGAGCTCTCGAGGCCACGACGCATCTTGGGTCCGTTACTGTTGACAGTCTGGCCCTGGACAACAGGCTGGAAGACCTGCGCTCTAGGCGAAAAGCCTGTGCCAGTGTTCAGCTGTTGAGTCATGTTATACATGGTGGGCGCAGGCTGATGGCCGCCGTTCTGTTGAGCGGAGGAAGGTCCCTGGCTGACGTGGTAGGTCACGGAGATGGCGTGCAAGACTCCATTAGCGGGCAAGTGCTGCTGCATCGCAGACTCAATGATCTGCTGAGCTCCATACGGATGGTAGATAGCGGGACCGGCCATGTGAGGAGATCTCATGATGGGAGTTGGCATCTGGGGAGGCATGCCCTGGACGCCGTGAATATAGCTCGGGTGGGGGGTGGCCTGCGCAGGCGGCATGACAGGAGTTAGCTGCTCTGAGTTATCAGTAGCGGTGGCTGCGTCAGTCTGCTTAGCAGTCGACTCAGCCATGAACACTGCGGTGCCGACCTCTTGAGAAAGACTGGTGTTGAGCGTCTCATCCTGAACGGTAGGGGCAGTGGAGGTGGGCTGCATGGAGACAGCAGAGTCAACCTCGGACTTGCTGGTCTTGAATGAGATCAGCGACTCGTCAGCGGCGCTTGCCTCAGTAAACTCGGGCTTCTGCAAAGGAGCCTCCTGCGCAGGCTCAGACTCCTGGATGATGGGAGCCTCCTTGATAGGCGTCTGGACCATCTGATTGTTGATCTCAACCTCGACCAAAGTATCGCTTTTTCCAGCAGGAGCCACAGTAGAATCAGGGACGGGAACCTCCTGGCTCGCGACGCTCTCTTGATGAAGATCAGCCGTAGTCTTGTTACCGGACAGCCACTCCTGGTGAAGCTTGGCCTTGGCCTGCAGATCGGCGCTTGACTCCTGGCGACGGCTGGAATGGAGATGAGGAGGCAATCGACCACCTCGGTCTTTCTGCAGAGGAATCTTGACATCCTTGATGCCGGGAGGCATCTCAGCTGACGAACGTCTCTCGAGGAGCTGCTCGGCACCGTACTGCCTACGTTCCGCCGTACGCTCCGCCGTGTACATTGAGGAGCCCTTGACCTTATCAAGTGCGAGCTTGTCGAAGGCATCCTCAAGGCCTGTAGTCTTCGAGGCATTTTGATCGACATCGGTCTTGGAAGCAGCAACCATCTTCGAAAGAGGCTCGGGGGTGGGAGTGCCCACTACCGTCTTCTCCGAAGGCGTCTCGGGAAGCGACTCTGCCTCTGCCTCCTGTTTGGCCGAGGATTCGACCGCCTCACTCTTTGCAGGGATGGCGTGCTTCAGGATGTACTCCATCACACGCTTGATGTTGTCGCATTGCAGGTTAAACCCCACTCCAGTGCTCTCGTCTGGGAACCTGAAGCTGTATCGCTCTTCCCGGGGCTTGTCGTTTGAGGAATCGATAAAGCTGCAGATCACCAAGACACCCTTTGCGTAAACGCAGCGGTAAGTTTCCAGACCGTGGCTCTTGGTGAGAATGTCCTTGTACTCCATGACGAACATGGCGTGGCCCTCGGGGCGATTCTCGGTGAAGACGACCTTGAGTTTGACGATGACATCTTCCCAGGATCCACCAGGGCCTCCAATCTTTCCCTTGCAAGTAGACGAGAACAGCTGTCTGTCAGAAGGCAAAGCGGAGTCGTTGGCCTTTGCATGCTCATGTTCCATACGTCCCTCGCTGGGCAAAGAGACCTTGGTACTAGGAGGAGCAACGGCAGCAATTGGCGTCTGTATCTTGGCAGCCTGAGCAGGCTGGGTAGACAGTGTAGGACTGGCGGTCTGAGTAGATTGAGCAGGCTGGGCAGGTTGCTTGTCGGCCTGAGTAGACTGAGTGGTCTGGGCAGACGAGGGAGAAGAATCACCCTCAGCGGGCTTCTTCCTCAGGTGAGGAGGCAAAGCAGACGTGCTTCCTTGGCCGGGGTTATGCTGACTACCCTTGAAGGTGGCAGAAACGCCCTGAGAAGACATCGCAGACGTCACCTGGGTGGCGCCAGTTGCCTGAGAACTGGTCGCTAGAGTAGCAAAGGTCTGCTCGCTGCCTCCAACAGCCTGGACCAGAACATTGGCACCAGCACCGTTACCACTAGCCTTTTTGAAGATCCTGACCTCAGCGCCGGGTGGAAGAAGGATACCATTCGGGCTGGTCTTCATGCCAGCATAGGCATCATTGCTATTCTGTGTCAGCTAGGTTGCCGCCGAGAGAAGCCGGGCAGCGACTTACGCGGGGCGGGCCTTGGGAACATAGTCCTGCGAAGGACCTCCAGAGGCCCGGTAGGAACTTGGACCGCCCAAGTCGCTGAGGTTCTGAACACCCTTGGCCTCGTCATCATCAAGGCCGGTCTTGGCCAACTCTGGTTCTGAAGTCAGATACATGTTACATCAACGAACATAGACAATAATCTACTCAAATATCCTTCGAGGGATTCAGAAGTTTGCGTGGGGACGACAGGACGACGAGGGCGCAGCCGATCATGTTGCTCGCGCTTAGTATTGTCAAGAGGGAGCTCTTCGACACGGCCAATGCCCAGGTCATTCTGTTGATTGTAAGCGGAGCTCAGGAGGCGGAAGGAAGGAACTTGCCATCATAGCATCTCTGATCGAGTCGGGCGCGGCGGGAGGAGTCACGGGAGACTGGGTCGCGGTAGGTTGCATATGCAACTTCGGCATGCGATCAGTACGCCGCTCTTCTTTGTTTCCCCAGCTGCCCATATTTGCTACGAGGCTTGTAGAGCTAGGAACTTGCGTTCGTGAGCTTGCTTGCTATGTTGCAGCGCGGTTCTGGTTGCAAGTCAGGACGAAATCCAGCGAGTGGTGGACGGGATGGGTAGAAAAATAGGCAACAGCAAGCAGACACCCCGACGAGATAGAAATCTAGAAGCAAAAACGTGATGACTCTTACCTGGTACTGGAAGACCCGGTTGCGATCCGAGGTCCCTCGATTTAATTTGGTAGACGTAGGTAGCGCGTTGCGCGGTGTTTGGATGATGCAGAGACGAAATAGCGCAGGCCGTTCTCGGCTATCCGTTCAAGAAGATCTTGAAGGTAGAGAGTAAGGTGCGAAGTAGACGAGAAGGTGCTCTGGGAAGGAAATGTTGATTTGGAAAGAAGTGTGTTGATGGGTTGTGGTGGAGGAAGAGTGTGGGAGAAAGAGAAGGTGAGGGATGGACTTTTGGGGAGAAATGGAAGACGCAAAGGACAGCAGTGTGCCCAGACCAGATCCAAAAAGAGACGAGTCTGGCCAGAGATAGGGCAGGAGGGAGGAAGGGAGGGCATTCGTCCGGGATGGAAGTCAGGCAGGCAAGCCCACCCAGGATAAGTTGCTCGAGAGAGCAGAGTTGTTCCTGCTCACCTAGAAATGAAAACCCTGTCGACTCAGTAACCAGTATAAAAGAAGGAACAGCCCTCACTGCGGGAGACTGAGGAAGGGGTCTTGCTCCTGCCTGTGAATGAGTTTAATCGACCTATCAGTGGGGACTATAACAAACAGACCAAGTTGGATATCAAAGGTCGCTGCATGCAGATGGGAAGAAGCAGAAGTCATCCAAGAACGACTTTTGGGTTAAAGGGATAACATCCATGCAGTAGGGAAGCTGCCGAAGTTCGGCTTTGTCCTCTCAGTGGAGGCACTTAGGTGGGCAATATGTGACATCCCATGCTGTCTCATAGTGCCATGTTGCGTCTCCAAAGTCGGGTTTACTGCGATCATGTTAGATGGAAAGGGCCTCAACCAGGCACCGATAATTTTACTTTTGGGAAGCGTACCTAGCTAGAGAGAGGTCTAATTCTACCGATGACTGGTGTCAAGTAAGGGACTGGTCAAATCCACTGGGTTGCGACTTCGTTTGCAACTCACCCTTCCTCGAAGTGAGACACTACAATAGACAACGAATCAGACATGTGATTTCATTTGTGGAGCAATATCACTGCAGAGCCTGCTTACGGCGACAGGAAAGGATCATGTTATGAAAGAATAGGATTGTGAATTGACTGAAAAGAATCGTCTACGAGTACGCCTGACTGGGTTGAATCTGCGGAGCGAACGAAAGCATATGGCCTAGCTGTCGCATTTCCTTTGGGCTCAAAACGATCCGAGGTTGTGCTTAGATAGACGACGACAGTAGAGAAGTGGTAATAAAGCCTTGAGATGATGCTGATGGAAGAGGTCAAGTAGAAGAGATCCCAAGGAAGCAGAACACCTCAGTTTCTATAGCGCAAGAGAAGCAGTTCGTCGCAGAAAAGGCTTGACGTGATTCGAGAATTTCATCCCGCATCTCGCATTCATGATTGATATCTCTCTCAATCCAGGCAGAAGTTCGTCGTGATCACCACAGCAGCTTTGCAGACTTCCTTCACCTCGACTTCAAATACCATAATGCAGTTTGAAAGGCCCCCTGGGGCGTATCATTACTCATATCCCATGCTTCCTATAATACAGTTCCCAATTTCCCATTTCATGATTTACCTCGCAGCAGCGTCCTTGGGAGCGCCGCTCAATCCCTCAACACCTTGGCGACCAACACTGCTCAGGTCCTCAGCCGCCTTGGATGCGGGCTCTCTCAGACCGGAGGTGGCAGCCGTCTCGGTACCGATCTTGCGCTCGGCATCGCCGCCGCTGCCGACGTTGACATTGCGGGCGTCTGCGGACTGCCAGTCGGAGGCAACGGGGGGCTGCTCGGGGAGAGGGAGGTTCTGCTGGACCTCGTTGATCTTGTCGGCCTTGGACTGGGTCATTTTGGCGGGTGATGTGAAGTGGTAGTGGTTTGGAGCTAGGGAAGGGGTGGTGAGTTAGCGCTCGTTCGTCATTGGTCGAAGCTCAAGACAGCTAGCCCCAGGAGGGGAACGATGCGACTTACTGCGTAGAAGAACTTGAAAAGATTTGGAGAAATATTCCGTAGCGTGGTTTCCTTCAATCGCTTTGGTTTTCTTTTTGAATGTGATGAGGAGGAAGAGACGCACACTCATCTGGCTTCGATTGAACGTCTTTTATGTCAAGATATCCAGAGTCCTCCGGGTCTTGTCCGCAGGGATCAAGCTCAATTGATGCTGACGTCAATGACGTCAAGCAGAGGCAATTGCGGCTCTTCGCACACAATCAGTGGAGCTGCGAACCGCACGCTCCAGTATCATCGACGATTTGGCGGGTAGGTGGGGAACTTCAACGACAGATGGTCGATCAATGACAAAATTGCTCCAGAGCCTCCAGGAGGAAAAGCTCCTTGGGCTTCCAAAGAGGTCTACGCGCATGTGCCTTGACAGCTGTTGCCTCATCCAGATGCAAGTTTATTGGGGGGTTGGTTTCGTAATCTTGTTCAGCCCTGAACGCCTTAATTCCCGGCAAAAAAAGCCAGCCAGGTCATGTCCGATCCCTTCCCGATAGTGCCAGATGGCCGCCTAAACCAACAAATCGACGTTGTGATGCACCCACGTATGATGCTATCCCAGCCTTGCTTCCTTTCCCCCTCATCAGCTCTAACCCCCACCTCCACTCTCGCAATCGTGCCTGATTTAACCCATCCTCTTGTCGGTTTCAGCTGAAGTCGCCTTATCTCCAGTGTCGGGGTTCAGGTAGTCGGCATCTTCTGCGGCCTCGTACTCTTGAATAAGGTCCTGCACCACCTCGCGGGCCTCGTCAAACTCGTCCAAGTTCTCTGCAAATGGCGCCGTCTTCTTGTACCCTTCCATGAATGCATTGCGCTTCCGCATGCCGTCGTACTGTCTGACGATTCTCTTGAAGAGCTGCGCATTTGTTAGCAAGCGGAATCGAGGTTCAAAGTCAGTAAGTACTCACAGTTGCAATGCTGGTGTGGTTGGCCAGCATCAGACCGCTGACGCGGTGGGCCATCGGGATGTAGGGGCTCCGCCTCGTCAGGGCCACCTGAATGCTGGCTGGGCCCCAGGGAATGAAAGTTGCCAGTCGTCGTTCCCGGATTCTAAGTAGACTCTTGTGAACGTCTGTGGGGTCCACCTCGCCCTGGATGACGTTTAGGATGGAGATGTAGCAACTCTTCTTCCCGGGCTGCGTCGAGACCATGCGATTCTTGGGCTGCAGCAGTCTGCGCATGACGTCCAGCACCGTTGTCTTTCGCACCGTCTTGGCCTGTTCGACCTGGTCGCCAGTGAATGGCGTGTATGCTGTCATCAAGAAATGGCATCTTGGGGTAGGAATCAACGAGGCCAGAATGCTGACCAGGTCGTTGTGCATGTATCCGGGGTATCTCAGTGTGGTTGTGCTTGCTGACATGACTGTCGAGACCTAAGGACACATGTTAGCTATGGCGCCAGTAACATCATCAAGTGTAGAACTCACAAGTTGGTTGGTTTGGGCAAACGATGGCTCTTGAACGTGAAGTCGATCGGCTGCAATGCGTGAAAGGGCTCCGTTATCCAACACGACGACGGAGTCGGCATTTTGTACCAGCCTCCTCATGGCGAGCACGCTGTTGTAAGGGTGAACAACGACATCTCCAGCGTTTGTTGTGTCTGGGAAGACGGAGTATGTTTGGATAATCTTCTTGGGAAATCGATCGTTGAGGCGCTCGAGAAGAAAGGATCCTAGACCGGATCCGGTACCGCCAGCTATTGAGTGCAACAGCATGAAGCCCTGTTGAACGTCAGCAAAGCTCGGAGCGTTCTAGCACGATGCATACCTCCAGAGAGTCACTGCCGTCAGCCTCGCGGTCGATCATCTCCATTATGTCCTCGCAGACAACCTCACCCGTCTGGTATCCGTCACCCCAGTTGTTCGCGGCGCCGACGCCATTCTTCCCAACGAAGAAGTTTTCGGGGTTGTAGATGTTCTTGTAGGGGCCAGTTTGAATGCCGTTGATTACCTGAAATGTTTTAGCAAAAGTAATTGCTCCATCGCCATGAAGGCACCTACTCTTGGTTCGAGATCGACTAGAATGGCTCGCGGGATGTATCTTGTATCGTCACTCTGGTAGTAGAACACGTCTTTTCGGTCGCCTCCC